TCCAACCCCCACCAGTCTGTGGTTCTGTGATTAATCTCTAAGTAGTGTCAATTAGTTTCTAATGTGAATTAATAAGGGAAAATGCAAAGTGATTTTTCAAACACACTTGTGTGACTGTGAAGCTTGGCGCTGATGCCCTGTAGCTATAATTAATAGGTATAAGAAATTACAGTTATTCATAGTTTTCACATTAGACCGTGGCATATGTCGACTGTCTTCACTTAGAGCATAAAAGCTTCCTTCTCTTTGCTGACGGCGTTACAGCTGTATGGCTATGGATGCTGAAGCCTCTCACTTTGCTTAATTAGAGCTGGCAGATTATTTCCAGTTCCTGTACGTAGGACTTGGGCAGCTCTTGAAACAAATGATCGCAGCCAAGCCTCGTGTTTTCACAGAGAAGGTAACGTCACTGTTGGACTTAAACGTTTCATTTCAACGAGGCTGTTTTCTCCTGTAGGTCTCATTGATTCAAACCCCAGTAAGGCAGCGTGAGTGCCGCAGACACATTAAAAACGTCTGAGCACAGCTTTGTCTCAGAGCTGGAGTTTGCAGTTGGAATCCTTTCCTTTTGTGTTTGGATTAGATTTTGTTCAGTGACTGATGGGCTAATTTGCTGGCTTCTGAGTTTCACGTATTAACAAGCTGCAGGAACCCAATTGAGATGAGATGGGAGAAAAAAAACAACAATAAAACCGCCAGAATAGAAAAGCTTTATAAAGTTACTGAAAATGAAACTTTGACAAACAGCCTTTCAGAGTTCGGTCACATGTAATTGCATCTAAAACTTGACTTTGTCTTGTAGCACAGAAAACAGTGTTTTCTCAAATGGCAGAGCAAATGGCTTTGGATGGTTAGAGTTTCTTTTCCAATTATAAGTTAAAAGAAAAAGGAACATATTGGCACAATTGAAAAATGCAGCATGGGAATAGATTTTTTCTTCCCCCTCCTCATTTACTCAGCACCAAGAAGGTCCTGAGGAGCGGACTAATCAATAACCTGGCTTTTCAGCTTTTAAGAAAGATACATTAGAACTATCACAAACCAATTTATAAAGATTAATAGAGCTAGGCCACAGAAAACTAATCTCCCTGGGGAACAAGAGAGCAAAATTAGACTCCTCAGAAAGATAACTCCTTCGTTACAATCTGGCAAGTGTAAGAAAGCATTTGCAATTAATGCTAATGTACTGTAATTACGCATTGGAGCTAAAATATCACTATGATGGAGATGGATGCAGATGACATGCAAACTTCCATTGTGTCTGGGGATTTTGAAATATGTTTGTCTCTCCTCCCCACTTACAAATTTCAAGTTGTTAACAGTTACAAGCTTTTGTAATTCAGCCTCTGGTTTCCACGGAGACACACAAACTTTCTTGGATGATCTCATTGCTTTCAACAGTAAGTTGCAAGCACATAAGTGTCACAACACTCAATTTGTTCTTTAAGCTTGATCAATTATTTTTTTTCTGGAAATAGAGTATTTTGCTGTCTTTCCAATGTAGTTTTAGCTCTGAGGAGTCTCTTACCTGCTTCATTTCTATTCCCTGTCCTTCACATTGTGCCACTAATGTAGTAACAAAGCGTAATTCATGCCAGTTGCTGGGCCGGAGGAACAGAAGTGATGCCTCTGCACAGTACCTTCATAATCTGTGCTGTCTTACTCTCGATAGCACATGGCATTCTGCTGACTTTTGTAACCTGAAGAGGACGAGCAGAATATTCTCGTGGGTAGTGGCTGTTATGTTTTGCACAGACTGTGAAGCTGGCGAGTTGCTGTTGCTGAGTCAGGAGGCAAATAACAGGTGTACGTTTTGGAGCTCAGCTGCAAAGAGTGGATTTGGTATGTGGGGTGCCATCATGATGCCTTTCTCAGTTTGCAGACAGCTTTAATCCCAGTTTCACTGCTCAAAGCTTTGCTTACCAAGAGATGAATAAATTAAAATGTGGTAGGTTTTATTTGGCTACCCAAATGCCTGTGAGCAGCAAGAGACACCAGTGCCAGTGAGCACCCATCCTCTTTCCCAGCAGCATTGTGTTTAGACCAGGCGTTTCTGTTGGACCATTATTGCCCACAGATTTACTTGTGCTTCCCTTTTCCTTCCCTCCCCAGTTTCTTTGCCTGCTCTGTGTCTCTGTGACAGGAGCCTCGAGCACGATCTCCATGTGATGGTTTCACTGGGCTAGCAGCCGAACACAGCCGCTCGCTCGCTCCCTCTCCCCAGGGGATAGGAGAGAGAACTGGAGGGGTAAGGCTAAGGAGACTTGTAGGATGAGATAAGAACCCTTTAAAAATTGAAATAAAACTTATAATTATATTAAAATAGTAATTCTAATAATAATAGTAATAAAATATGCAAATGAGTGATACACAGTACAACTGCTCACCACCCACCGATCAAGCCCGGCCTGTTCCCAGATAATAATCCCGGAGGAGCGATAATCCCGACCCGAAACCGCAATCCCGGGAGAGCCAGAGCCCGAGGGAAAGCCAGAGAGAGCAAGAGAGGGAGAGACCCTCATGAATATACTGACCATGATGGGATATGAGATGGAATAGCCCACTGGCATATCCAAATGTCAGTTTAGCTTATTAATTTAAATACTCCTCATCCCCTCCTAGATCTTGCATTTGTAAAAGTCCTTCAACTTCCAGTGACAACATCTGTATGTTACTGGTGTTCTTCTCATAACAAATCCATGCTGATACCAAAACACAGTGCTGTTCTAGCTGCTGAGAAGAAAACTAGCTGTATTTCAGCAAAAAACCAGGACACTCGGGCTTTAGGAAGGCACTGTAGGCCCCTCTCATCCAACAACCATCTCCCTGGGAATGAGAACCACTGACATTGCTTTTACTACAGGGTCCTTCTGAAAGGAAGCCCAAAGGACAGCAGTGCTTGAGCACACCAGTTGCTTTGAGCAGTAACTTCACCATGAGAGACCAATTTAATTTCAATCCCTCCATCACCTATGTGAACCAGGACTTTAAAGTAAGATTTACCATTGTTAGGAGTTACTGAAGCTGTCATTCAGCAGTTTGTCACCTGGAATTGCAAAGGAAGTGATTTTGAAGCTAGGTGGGTATTGCTTTTTAGAAGAGAGAGTCTTGGTCAGGATGTGGTTGCATTTAGATCTTCTCCCCTTAGAATGGCTTCTTTTTAATACTCTTTTAAGTAAGCGTGTTGCCTGGCTTCTCTGCTAATTTATCTTAGTAGTAGCAGTACTAGTAGTAGTTTTGGCAAGTACTAGAGTTTTATTTTTCTGCAAAGTGCTAGAAAGAAATTGCCTTTTGTTTGGTGAATGTTCCCAGGGGTGGTGGAGAATGTTTATGGAATGTTCTTCTAAAGCTGCCAGTGGTGCTTCCAAGGAATACTGCCCAAACCTGTGGTATTAAACAGTTCTTCAGGCAGCATTTTTAGGGTTTTCTCTTCCGAGTGTAGAAGTGGTGACATTTTCATTTGGTTTTGCAATACGTTAAATTATATTTAGTATTAAAAAATCATGGTCTTCATGTTTGGATGGCTGCAAAGACTGGGAAGGATGGTCTTCCCAGAATGGTTTTGCAATTTTTAAGATATAATGTGTTCTAACAGGCTAGGTTAAGAAAAATAACTAAGAAGAGGTCTCAGTTCTTTTTTTTTTTTCCTTACCTAAGTTGTATGCTTACAAATAATTGCTAATTTGTATTTTTTTTTTTCTCCCCAGGGTATGGTCTTCGTTGCCACCGAGCTATTATCACCATCTGCAAACTAATTGGAATTAAAGATATGTATGCCAAGGTTTCTGGATCCAAAAACTTGATTAACATTACCAGAGCTCTCTTTAAAGGCTTGACAGAACAGGTAGATTGCACTCTCATTGGTTCTATACATTAGGTCAAGGAACAGAATGGCATTGATATTGTAATAGTTTGGGGTCAAACAGGTTATATTCTAGGCTTAAAATGAAGTAATTTTCCAAAGAGCAAACAAAATCAGCATGTGAATAATTCCTCAGCAGCTGTATGAAGTTGTCTGGTCTGAAACAGCTGTATGTAATTCTGCCTGTTCCACAGCCAAGTGTCTCCAGGGGAACATCAGAATTTCTGGGCTTTCATTTCTAGTATTATTTGGTGATATTTGAAAAATCATGGGCAGAGGAAGTTGTGGCCCAGCTTTGGCTGCTGCTGCTCATGTGTCTGCATTCTAAGATTTCATTGCCTAAGGGCTGAACATCACAGCTGCTTCTATCACTAGTATAATTCAGATCTCTGAAATAAATCAGGGGGGTGTTGTCATTTCATCTAACTCAATGGGCTCACAATGGAGACGTCTCGGTCTGAGCCAGCTGCCTGCAGTTGATGGAAAGATCCAACATGCAGCATTTCCTCTGACTTTGAAGAGCAGCCTTAGGATGAGTCAGTCCTTTGGAAATTCCTGGTTAGCTCATTTGGTCGTAGAGTCTCAGTAGCTGCCGGGATTCAGCTGCTTACATTCTCAATATAGCCCTGCAAACCTGGAGCTGTCAAAGCTGTCACCCTGTCCCAGCCAGCTTCTTCTCTTCAGCCTTGGGAAGGGAGGGGGTTATGATCTTCTTTGCCTAATGAGATAGACACTGGTAAGCATCTGTAACTGAGATTTATCAGACTTGAGGAAGTCTGTCATATATTTTCGATGCATCGTCTCCGAGACATCTTCCACAGAATGACTAGAAGAATAGTAGAAGGACCTGCTGCATAGATTATTGCTTTGAGAGATGTGCAGTTGGTATCTTTTCTTGACCGAATTCCCTGAATGGGAAAAAATGTCCTATTCCCAGCAGACATTTATTCTGTAAATTCTGAGTGTTAACAAAAACCTGTCTGCAGGGAAGAGGTGTAGTTGAAATTAACGTTACAGTCGTATGGTTCTATTAACTAATATTACTTGTCAGGGCAGTAATAAACACTTCACTGTTGTCAAAGCAAAATTTATATGCATCTTAAAGACATGAAAACTTTACTGCATGTTACTAACGTGCCAACATGCATCCTTACTATCCTTATGCAGGATGTGCCTTTTCTGGCCAGATCCTTTCCAGAAGCACGTTCTTCTAGGATGACATTGTAGTGCCAGTATATTTGCAGTCTAGTTACCTCAGTTCCTCCATGCAATTAGCTCATTTGAAACCCATGAAGATGAGCCTGGCGAGTCATTTAATTGACACAGTGTTTAAACTGCTTATTAGGAAGTTACTTTTTTTTTCTTTCCCTACCCCATCTACAGTGTAGAGTTTGAATCACAGAATATTAGGGATTGGAAGGGACCTCGAAAGATCATAGAATCATAGAATGGGCTGGATTGGAAGGGACCTTAAAGATCATCTGGTTCCACCCCCCCTGCCAGCAGCAGGGACACCTTCCACTAGACCAGGTTGCTCAAAGCCTCATCCAACCTGGCCTTGAACACTTCCAGGGAGGGGGCATCCACAACTTCCTTGAGCAACCTGGGCCAGTGTCTGACCACCCTCACAGTGAAGAACTTCTTCCTAATATCTCATCTAAACCTCCCCTCTTTCAGCTTAAACCCATTTCCCCTTGTTTTGTCATTAACTGCCCTTATGAAAAGTCCTTCCCCAGCTTTCTTGTAGGCCCCTTTCAGGTATTGGGAGGCCGCTGTAAGGTCTCCCTGGAGCCTTCTCTTCTCCAGGCTGAACAGCCCCAACTCTTTCAGCCTGGAGTAAGTTGTAAAGTGCAGCTCTCCCCACCTGGCCTGGACCTGAACAGTGCAACCCAAACACATCTCACCACATTTTCCCACCTTGGGAGGTGCATAGACCATCACCCAGCACAGGGGTCCCAGCCTGGCTTTTGTGAGTAGAGGTTTGCAAACAAGACATCTCCCTTGAACCCTTCTTGGTCACTCTTGGTCCCTGTTCTCACTGCTAGTGCGGGGTAGAACAACACATCGTTCTCAGTGGATCTTTCCTTTGTCAGCCAAAGCACTGGGAAGTGCCTGACTGATTTCTAGCTGAAGTAAACCAACATTGTGCATCATTGCTTTGATTGTCTTCTCTCTTTCCTACTCCCAGGAGACTCACCAACAGTTGGCGAACCAGAAGAGTCTTTACGTAGTGGAGTTCCGGGAGGAGCAGGGCCCTCTGCCTATCGTCGTGGCACTGCCTGAGGGGGATGTCCGTGAGGATCCTGAGCCTGAAGATGAGGTTCCAGACACAAAGTTGGAGTGGAGTGAAGTGAAAGAAGCTCAGGGAATGAAGAAATCTCCCTGGGTGAATGTCAGAAAGATAGCATGGTAAAAACTTCAGTCCCTGACCACTCTTTGACTAGGGATGTCAGACAGAAACAGCCAGTGAACATGGTTTTGACTTCAAGCCTGCGTTTACTCGATTCCTGGAGATGATGTTTAATCAACAGATCCCACGTTTCTTTTGCAAGCTCTTGGAAAACTACTGAAGAGATAAGGTTGTGAAAGCAATAAAGAATTCTCAGAAGGACTTCAGCGTGGGTTTGTTGGGGTCTTTTTTTGCAAAATGCCAATGTCTGGGAGATCTTGCGGCAAGTTAATGGCGGTGGAAGTTAATATGGGCACTCTCCATCTCCCTCCCTAGGCTCCCTCATTATGGTGGGGAAGCTGTGAAATCAAAAAGTAGAAGTTGTGTGTCTTCTAGTGGGGAGGAAGGGGGCAAGGTGATGGTGAGCAATGGCTGGAGCTGTGCAAACAGTCCTTTCCAACCCAAACCATTCTGTGAAACCTAGGCTAAAGGAATCAAATCTTCCTGCATTTCGATGACCTTCAGTTTGCCTCTGTCCTTGCAGAAACAGTGAACTGAAGTGAGTTGGCTCTGCCACTGACCCAAACCAGCCTCAGCCTGGGTAGCAGAGAGAGCTGAAAGCAACTGTCGGGATCAGCTGTTTGTCATTTGTTTCTCTGTGTTGCAGTGAGCAGATGGATCATACCAGCATTTTCTCTTTTCTCCTCAGAATCAGGAATAAGGTGTGTGTCAGTTGCAGGTGATTGCAGCCACCCTTGGAGATGTCCTGCTGCTTCCTTGCATTCTGCTCTTGCTTTTCCTCACCCAACACCTAGGGAAAAGCCTCTGGTATTCAGGCCGAAGAATGGTGCTGGAGATCATACATGGCCACTGCTGCACAAAAATGTCATTTGCCTTTTCAGAACTTAAAGAAATGTAGTAACCACTAATCTCCCTCTTTCCCCAAGGTCTAGCATACTAGCTACACTTGCATCTGCTCCCATGAGGGTCTTCAGGACTCCTCTGCTCTCTGGAGGAGGTTTAGGACTTCTCAGACCCACAGGACAGTAACTCATGTTTGTGCACTTCCATGAATTAGGAAAAAAGGAATTTCCATCCCTATCCTCAAAGCAAATGGGATTTCAGTGCTTGAATCCATTAGCATAAGGGAGACCGAGGAGCAGGAGGGGACCATGGTCTCCATGTGAAGATCAGAGGTGGGGAATGGACCATAGTTGGGTCAGGAGATGAGGAGGCAGACTGAGCCAGCCATGAATCAGACTCTGGCGCAGACCCCCACTTCAGGGAGCTTTGATCCCTCCCTAGAAGTCATCCTGTGTGAGTTTCCCGTTTTCCCAGGTTTGGTGGCGTTACCACAGAGGCTCGTGTAGCTGTTTTACCCAGCGTGGTTTTCTCATCACTCCCAGATAAAGCGGACTGCAGGACTGCCGAGTCCAAGGAGCATCTGGACAACGCTCTCAGTCGTGGTTTAGTTTTAGGTAGTCCTGCAAGGAGCAGGGAGTTGGACTCGATGATCCTCTGGGTCCCTTCCAACTTGAGATACTCTATGATTCCATGATTTTCCACAGAGCTGGCCATGATTTTCTATTAACTTTCTTTGCTTTCAGACAAAGCAAATCCTTCTCCTGCAATTCAGGTGAGGATGGAAGTGTTTCTAACTCATTGCATCACTGGAGGCAAGGTATCCAACATAGGAATATTTGAAGAACAGGTAAAATTGCAATTAAGAAGCTGCAATTAAGCAAGAGCAGCCAAGATTACGATCTGGGCATAGTTAATGAATGATATGTCTGTAATCTCGTTTTTACTGCAGGAGCTGAGGTTTTCCCTGCCTTCAAGTGGATAGTTTGGTTTAACTAAAGTTTAATTGCCTGCTCTATAGAGTAGATGCCTGCAGCCCTCCTTGTTTTGCTGAGGAAGCTGGAGGAGAAGAGCAAAGGTGGAAACCCCACCAGTTGGAATCTGGTGGTGGCTGCGGGGATGCAATAGCCCCCCCTTGATTTTAACAGCGTGCTGGGACCTGGTGAGTACCCTGCAAAAGTACCTGACTGATTGGTGGCTCTTTAAATGGGCTGGTACATCTGCGTGGGAATGCCAGGGCTGGGGAGGGTGAATGAAATGCTGTGAGGAGGATGCTGTTGGAGATGAGGTGCTGCTCTGGGGGGATCTGGAGATGTCTGACCAAACGCAGAGCAGCTCCATAGACTGGAACAAACTGGGAGCAGCCCTGCAGGCAAGGACTGCAGGTGCCTTCAGGTCAACACACTGCAAGGGCCAACTGTCTGCAAGCAGCTCTCGGCAGAGCCAGCCCTCTCATGTTCTGGGGAATTGTGCTAGTGTGGAATTAACCCCAGACAAGTGTCTCCATGGGAGAAGAATCAAGCCTGTGGTGTTTATCATGCCCAACATTTCCAGTGGGATGACAGCAAATTCTCAGGGCTCTCTGTGGCAACGAGACCTCGTACATATATAGGTGGTGGTTTGGAAGTGGTTTGTAGGTCCTGAGCTCTCTAGGCAGCATCATTCCCTGCAGAAGCACCGAGGTGGGCCATTTTCCAGGCAGCTACCTGGGGCTGCCCAGCTTCCAGGACATGTGGGTCTTCAAAGCTGTACTGAGACAATAGGAGAGCTGGGCGTGATGGGCAATGGGTGGGGTTTGGGGGTGGGGTTTTTTTTCTCTTTTTGCTTTTCTTTCCACCAGGCAGAGATCATTCATGTTGCTGTAACTCACCTGCCAAGTGCAGTTTGGCAGCCTGGTGCCACAAAGCCACACCTGTCCTATGCTGGAGTGTAGCAGCCCTGTGCCAAATGGGGACCCTCGTTCACCTATAAGCTGTTCAACTGCACGGGATGGAAGTTGGGGCCACACTGGGAAGAGCTTCGAAGTTGTAGCACTGCTTTTGGATGCTCCTGACCTTGTGGTGGCTCTTCTCTCTGCCCAGCCATCCCCAGGCAAAGTCTTGGCCCAGGTGACACTGGGGCCACAGGGCCACCCTCCCAGGGCCATGTCCACAACCTTGTCTCAGGCCACTCCCCAGCTGCGCTGGGGCTGATGGGCACTCCCACACCAGTAGCACCCGACTGGTTTTTTCCAGTACTGGTTTACAGCAAGGTTATGTGAGTGCTGTGGGGAGGGATCTCGGCAAACGAGGTGGGGCCAGAAGGAAAGGGACCAGCAGGTGAACTAGTGCAGACTGGTGTGAACTTGTGGGTGGCAGGGAAAGGAGAATCAAAGGGCAAAGCAAGGCAGAAAGAATTGGGGAGGAGATGGGAGCCCTGCCAAGACAGAGGCTGCAAATGTGACAGCCACCAAGGCACAGAGACACGGATGTGAGGGGACAGACAGCAGTGCTGGCCGCACCTGGGTGTAGAAGATGGACTGAGCTGTCACATCCCAGGTCCAGGGGATGATTACAACTGTCTGCCTTTGTAAACAGACCCGAACAGAAAGGTGTTGTTGTGTTTTGTTGGTAAATTCAGGGGTGTTAGTAGAAGCAGGGCAAATCTGGGCACCAGCTTCCCCCGCCCCACACACACCCCATGATGACGGGTGTTGAAACCAGTTTCAACAGGAGCATGTTAAATCTTCAGAACCGAGTGCCATTGTCCAAAGTGTCTGTGAGTTCCCTCCCTGCCCTGAGAAGGGATTTCTTTTTCCACCTCTGTTGGAATTAGCTTGCTTTTGTCACACTAACACAAGCAAAAAACAGGTCAGGCTGGTTTTCAGGAAGGAAAAAACAAGAAAAAAAACAAATGTTTTCCTCACACTGCAATTAAAAAGCTTCACCCTAAATCCATGGTCACAACTCGAAAGTCCCTGCTGGATCTGAAGCAACAGGGGTGCCTCCATCTCAGCTTTTATTTCCCCTCTGTTCTCCAGTCTTTGTTATTATCCAGGAACTTCAGACTTAAAATGGAAGCATTTTTTGCCCCACAAGCTGGAAGGGCTAATTTGGTACTCTCATTTATTAGGCACCTCTAATATGTGAAAACCCTTCTTGGGTCTAAACCCCATTTAAATTAACTCACTGTCATGGTTTAACCCCAGCTGGCTACTAAGCACCACACAGCTGCTCGCTCACTGCCCCAGTGGGGTGGGGGAGAGAATCGGAAAGGTCAAAGTGAGAACTCGTGGGCTGAGACAAAGATCGTTTAATAAGAAGTAAGTAAAGCAAAAGCCACACACACAAGCAAAGCAAAACAAGGAACTGGTTCACTGCTTCCCCACCATCTCCAGGAAAGCAGGGCTCCATCACGTGTAATGGCCTCTTGGGAAGATAAATGCCACAACTCTGAAAGTCCCCTCTTTCCTCCCCCCAGCTTTGTGTGCTGAGCATGACATCATACGCTGTGCAATATCATCTGGGTTAGCTATCCCAGCTACGTGCCCTCCCAACTTCTGCACCCTCAGCCTACACGCTGGTGGGGTGGGCTGAGGAGCAGAAAAAGCCTTGACTCTGTGTGAGCCCTGCTCAGCAATAACTAAAACATCTCCACATTATCAACACTGATTTCAGCACAAATCCAAAACACAGCCCCACACCAGCTACTATGAAGAAAATTAACTCTACCCCAGCCAAAGCCCACCTCGCTCACTCACATTAATGCTCTGGAGTCATTTAAGCAGTCAGGTGAACATCACCACTGAGATGAATCTGAGTTGGTTTAGCCCCTGGCTACAGAGCCCCACAGCCCCTTGCAGGAAAAGCCCTCTCGTTCTGTGCCTCCTCGTTAGTCACTGTCCTGGTGCCGCGCTCCTGGGGCTGTACTGGGCTGTGTACCTGTGCACAGCAAAGGGAACATCACAGAGATCACTCTTCTCTCTTTTTAAAAATCACAGCAAACCCAGCTTTATTAGTGACATTAGTGACGTAGTGCTGGTGGACATGAGCACAGCCGTGCACCAAAGACAAGAGCTGATTGCCTCTGCTGATTCAAGATGTTATTCTCATCAGCCAAACAATTCTCCTACAGCCTGCTGCACACCTTCCATGTTGTTTTGTGTAGGGAGATGAACGACAACTCCAGTACCTGAAGGGGCTCCAGGAAGGCTGGGGAGGGACTTTGGCCAAGGGCAGGGAGTGACAGAACAAGGGGTGATGGCTTGAAAGTGGAAGAGGGGAGATGGAGATGAGATGTGAGGAAGAAATTCTTTGCTGTGAGGGTGGTGAGACACTGGCCCAGGTTGGCCAGAGAAGCTGTGGCTGCTCCTCCCTGGAAGTGTTGAAGGCCAGGTTGGATGAGGCTTTGAGCAACCTGGTCTAGTGGAAGGTGTCCCTGCTGCTGGCAGGGGGGTTGGAACTGGATGATCTTTAAGGTCCCTTCCAACCCAAACCAGTCTGATTCCTTGAGATTTCTGGCATTATGGTTGTGCCTCAGCAATACCCTTCAGGGCTGCAATAACTCATGAGGCAAGTTCAATATTGTCCCCGTTTCTGATCCCAGGTCAGAGATGGCATTTCCAGAAACTGCATGAGAATGTCCTTTTGGCACTGCAGGTTTAGGGAGGCAAACAGAATTACATGGATGGGCAGCAATTAACATGACCCGGTTTCACGCTCATGCTCCTTAGTGCTGGTTGTTCAGGTTTTCCCTGATAGCAAGAAAAACCCTGGAGGCATAAAGAGGTGGTTCAGGGAAATTTGAGCACTTTGAACCCAACTATATTATTATAACTGTTTGGTTTTGGTTGTTTTTTTTCTATTTGAGCCCCAATAACTGTACCCAACCCAGAAGAGACTGAAGGAAAACAGATTCTGCACCCAGGCTATCGCTTCCCCTGGCAGGCTCTTTGTCTTCATTGTCACGGTCCCACATAAAAAGCTTCTTTTTTATAGTATATACATTTAAAAACAAAACCCAAACCCAGCCTGGAAACTGCAGTTGTTGAACAACTGTTGTGTTCATGGGGTGACCACAGACAGACTTGCGAGGGGAAGCTCTTAAGATGATTTCCATCGCAGGAGCGAGAATATCTTATGGATCACGTACACCAGGGTAGCTACGAATGCAAATACCTACAGTGGAAAAACACATCAGCCAGTTAACTTTTTATTATATGGCATGAGTTCCTGCACTGAGCAAACATCTCACCATGCATTATATTTCTATTGACTCTTGCATGTTTGGAGACATTCATGCGTAGGAGGACTGGGACTAGTTTCTCTCCCCACCTCCCCAAATCATTGGTGCAAGTAAAGATCTGCCCTTGGGGTCACTCCACAGTCACCTCCTCACCTTCCTTCCCCTGCTTGCCAGGTACTCACCACAGCAGCAATGTTCTCCTGGTAGATGTGCATTATCACAGGGTTGTCAGATACCAAGCCAATGCTGTAGGTGAAGTAGGCTTCCAACACAGCAGCACTGAGGTAGAACAGAGCTGCTGTCACCTGGCAGATGGCATCCTAAGAAACAAGGATCACACAGTCATTTCCAAAGAGGGAGCACACTGTGAAGGGGGAGAGAAGACAAAAATAAAGGAGCCCACACAAGCAAGCCCCAGCCTCCAATTTGGAGTCCAGTAGCAGCAAAGGAGACAGTTGTCTATCGGTGATACCAGGGAGGGGAGAGGTCCTGAGGTTTGTCACATCCACTTACCAAGGTGACCCAGGAGCTGCTGTCCCCGTGAGCCCCGCAGATGTAGAGGCACAGGAGGGTGGTGGACATGACGAAGCAGAACACTGAGACAAACATCACCCAGCCTTGCAGGATGGGTGCTGGCACCCTCGAGGATGCCACCAGGATCCAGACAAGGCCTCCAAAGATCTGCAAGTGAAAGTGGGAGAGAAGGCTTGGGATAAATTGGCTTGATGAAGGCCTTAATGAAGGCCATGTGCAAACATTGCCCTAAGAGGAGAGAGAACAAGTTGGAGAGAGGTAATACAGCCAGTTTTACTCTCTGAGGAAGGAGAAATAAAGTTGAGACTCCTCCCAGCTCCTCCTGGGAAGAGGGGCTTGTATTGCTGCTCCAGCTGTTGGGATCATCCTTCATTGGCTACACTTGGAGCTGCTGCAGGTACCAGCTGCTGGTCCAGTAGCAGGTGGCACCTCCATCTCCTCAGCTGGCCTTGGGAGTTTGCTATGGGTTTCCTGGTGGGGTAGAGAACACGAGGGCAGCTATATTTAGGCTCCATCCTCCCCTCACCAGCAGATTCCTACACAAGAGGACGAGTGCTTGATGCCCGGTGCTGTGGAGTGTCTGAGCTGCAAGTCTCTGCACTAAAATGCACTCAGCAGCTTTTCTCTGCTACAAACCAGCCCAGACAGTTCTTGAACCTGTGCCAAGTTTAGTCTGTGCAGCATCTTGTGATGAGGAGCTCCTCAGCTGAACCCAAACTGTGTGGAGACCGGTGCTGCTGTGAGGACCTATCTCTCATCATCAACTGGCCTTGGATTTGCAGGCAAATCATAGAATCATAGAATGGTTGGAGTTGGAAGGGACCTTAAAGATCATCCAGTTCCAACCCCCCCTGCCATCAGCAGGGAGTAAGAGAGCCTCACTGCCTCAAACATCATTCTGATCTCCAGTGTATCCCAGGCCAGCCTTTGCCAGCATCCAAGTGATAATCCATACCAAGCAGAGCATTTCCATGTCCTCAGAGGCATTTTTGCAAATGGAAAAACATTTTCTGATACTCAGAAAATGTCACACCATTTGGGTCACCCCACATTGGTAGGGAAA